TAAGAGGAGCGACGCTCCGAGAAGCCTGCCTTACCACTGCAATAACTAAGATCAATGTGGTAAGAAGAGCGAGACTCCGAGAAACCTGCCTTATCACCACAATGATAAGAAACAGGTGATAAGAGTAAGCGAGGCTCCGAGAAGCCTGACTTATTACCACAACAATAAGAAACAATGTGATAAGAGGAGCGAGGCTCCGAGTAACCCGCCTTATTACCATCTGGCCTTGTTCTAATACAAGACAGTGAATAGGAGAAGTAAGACCCTCGAGGCCTTCCCTATCACAAGTAAACGATGGGAAGATCCCGAGTGGTCTATCATATAACTACTAACCTTCTCAATAAAATTGGATCAATCAATTACTAACAGACTGCTTCTGATTCTATTGAGGAAAGGATAGTGAGATCTTCACCCTAAGAGACTTATCACTCTATCTTGGAATTTCTGAGTTGTTTTCTATTACGTGATTCATCTCCAAGATGAATTGACGACATTGCTTGTGCTTGTCAGGGAAAGAACCAAGAAAAGGGGTTGTGATAAACAATCTTAAAAGAGAACTTATGTAGGATCACTGGGTCGGAAGAGTTGGGAATGAACTTTGTTCATCATCCAAACCCATAAGGCAACAGCCTGGCAGTAAGGTAAGGATAAAGGCTAGACAATGGGTCATCGGTGAACATTCATCTTTAGGTCACAAATCTAGAAGGAATCTTCTAGACCTTAGCATAGGAAAGAGTTTGTAAAGTTTCTTTCGGACTGTGCTGTGTCTACAAGTTTCATCACACTTGAAGAAGATTACAGAAGAAAACCGTAAGGAACTGCAATTATGTTATCATTGGATAACAGGTCGGTAAAATTCCGACTCAACCTCCACATGGCTTGATACCCACACCTAAGACAAAACCTAAAAAGGGAAACGGACATATCTTTCCCTGTGTCTTAACGTAAATTGTCCAAATCATCTCTCGAAGGTCTTTGAAAAGGTGAAGAGTTAGATAATACAAACCAGGAGTAGGAAGGAGTGTTATTTTCAATGTTTTGGGGAGTGAGGGACTTGCTATGAATGGGTTAAAGGTTGACGCTTGTAACGCACTCTGTGTTTTGCATTTGTATGCGTGTATGTATTTTCTTGCATCTGCACAGGTGTTGGGCAGTGAACTGTCTTTTCAGGACTTAAGGTCACCTGGGATATTCGGACACAGGGCACTGCAATTGTGCAAGTGAGGTCCACTGCTCATTCGTTCCCCTGATATACATATGTACTTATATAAGTCGATGAACAAGTCCATACTCCGGTCTGAGGTTATGAAGGTTATTGTCTAAGATTTTGTTGAGAACTTGAGAGAGTGAGAGATTACAAAAGGATTTGGACTTTGGCATTTTCTCGTATGGTCAACGAAGGAACATAGATTCGCTATCATATTTAGCTAAGCATGGAGGACTGTCCGGAAAAATGAACCTGATAAGAATAGTCGGTCCGAGGGAGTTAGTACCTCGAGGCACGATATACGGGTCAGTCTTAAGGCGTTCTACCACGGATATGTATATGCTACGAAGATCGAGAAAAACGCCCTCGGCTGACCTACTTCTGCGATTGCATGTAAGAGTCTTCGCACGTGGGTCGGTAGCTCAGCAGGGATACGCCTGCCTAAGGGAAGGTGACAACTCCCGCAGGTGGAGGTAAATTGTAGCTCGAGGGATCTCTAACCTGTCGTTGGGATTCGAAAGAGGTATAGCACGCGCGCACGGTCGGATCGGTGTTTTGCATAGGTGACTTGCGTCACTCTACTCTGGACTGAGGCCGCTCTGTCCGTCGAAATGCCTCTCTCAAGTGCGCCCTGCAGCTCTCCCAATCTCGGGCCATATCCCTGATCTGCCTGGCCAATGGCCTCTCCGCTTTTCTGGTCCACAGGGGTAACGTTCTCGCTCATTCATCCCTCAATATACCCTGGCCATGCGTGAACTGCTCGTAGGCGGGAATGAACTCCTCTGCATTCCCGATCTCCAGGCGGATCGGTCTGCCGTCAGGTCCTACAGGTGATGGTCATAGCTCCTGCATCCTCGCTTCTACCTCCGGCCTCGTCCTCGCCTCCCTACGAATCTGTGCAATGGGCTCCACGAACCTGTCGGCTCCTCTCAGCCTCCCGATCGCCTGGGTCACAGTCCAACTCATATGATCTGTATACCCCCAGAACTCGTCCAGGAACAACTCAATATCCCCATCGTCGTACACCGGCGTACTCTCTTGGTGGTGAGACCCATGCCGCTCGTACCCTCCTGATGCTCCCAACGGCCTCCGTGGCGGCCGCATCCCCTTCCCTCCTCTTGGCATGCCTGTCTTCGTAAAGTTAGACCTGCACAATAGGCAAAGGAGATAACAGGCACACATTGGGGTAAGCAAACAGGTGATAACTAAAGCAGGCTCAGACCAAACAAAATACATACAACATGCATCCTATCTAATCCACACATCCTATCATCCTTACTCCAAAGAAGCCAGATCATCTATCTTACCTCTTCCCTTGTCACAAACTTCTTCAGTTTGGCTCCCGACACCCAATCCTTCCACTCTGTCTCATTTAGCTCTCCGATCTGATATTCGCCGAAATCTCCAGATCGCACAATCCGATAGGGACCTAACCACCTCTTGTCGAGTTTCCTGGACCACTGCTTCTCCAAGGATGAATCATACAGGAGTACAACGTCCCCAACTGCCAAGGGTACATTCCTTACTCGCGCCGACTGATCCCAACGAGCCTTATCCTCCATACGGCTCCTTTCCACTTGGTTGGACGCTTCCTGAATTCTTTCCTCTATCGTGCCCACCTGCCGCGCTCGAATATCGAGCAATTCCTCAAAGTACAGGCTGACTTCCAGATCCTGACGCCTCCAAGTCTTTAGGAAGCTCTCGATCGGGAAGGTAGCATGCCTCCGATACCATAGTGTGACCGGTGCGTACTTAGTGGTCCTCTTCACCGTGATATTCTCGACGAAGAATGCCGTCCTTAGGTACCTTGTCCACTGATTAGGCCTTCCCTCAGTCCACTTAGCCAGAAGGTTCGTAATGGTGTTGTGTCCTCTCTCCACCGGAGCGTTTGCCTGGGGGTGCGCGCCTGTGGTATAATTAGCTACCACGCTGTACCTTGACAACAACTCTTGCACCTCCTGGCAGATAAACTCCGACCCTCTATCCATTACGAACTCTTTGACAAAGGGATAGCGCAGGTAGTACTCCTCGATGCAGCTAACCAAGACGGCTGCCCGGTCTTCGTGCGAATGGCCCGCCCATCTATAAAGCTGGACAGGTTATCACGCGCATCGAAGATGTAGTTATAGTCATGATCCCCAAGCGGCATGAAGAGTAGGTCGAGATGTACTACAACCCCTACTTCCCTTTCCAGTCTCGGATGCAACGACTCTCTTGACCTCAAACGAGATCCTTCTTGGTAGGGTACGCAAGACCGCAGAACTTACTAACCATCTCCATCATCCCATCCCAATAATATAGCTCACTTATCTTGGCATATGTGGCACTAACTCCTCGGTGCCCTCCTGCGATCCCATCACAAAGCGCAGCTATAACATCGATCTGACGGTTCCTGCCACATACAACCCTCTTAGGATTCCCCACTTGCCTTTTTACGAAGAGATGACCATCCCTTACCAAATAGCATTGCATCATCCTTTGGGCTCTATCGCTGACATCTCCATTCCACATTTCGGATGATAGAAGAAGTTCCAGTTCCAGGTAGATCCCATCATACTCCTTTGCACGGAATGCCTCTTTGATCTCTCCCTCCTCAAACTCGTCATCCTGGCTTCCGGCACCATCTCCTCATTCTCAACCGGGTTCAACAAGCATATCTGATTAAAGTCTCCTTGTAGAAGTGTATTGACGACTCAATGACGGGAAGATACATTCCCCCCATCAAATCATCGTGCTTCTCCACCCGATATGGTCCTTCCTCTATCGTTCTCACTTCCTTTACCAGACTATGCGTGCCTGTCAGCGCCAACTTCATCATCCATTGGACATCTCTGCTTCCCCATGGATCTTCCTCTTCGAAAGGCTTGAGTATCAGCTCTACCTTCCGTTCATACTTGCTTGGCGCACGCCAACTAGGATGGCCAACGCAGCTAGGTACTCGCGGGGACAACTCATTGATGTGAAGACGGATGTCCTCTTCCTGATCCAGGAAGCCATCAACTGGGGGCGTGTTCTCTACCGCCTCCTCCTCTTGCTTATCCCAGTTGATACGGCTCAGCCCGTCTGCCCTGTTCTTATTCCCAGGAATCCGCTCCAACTGGAAATTAAACATCCAGATGAACGTCAACCATCTGACAACCGTCGGATCAGATGGAACGTAATTCCTTAGGGAGTAAGCCAGAGCAGTCGGGTCCACTGTTTATATGAACCTCCTGCCAGAGATATAGTTTCGAAAGATTCGCAGACAGTGGAGGACGGCGAGAGTCTCCCTCTTGAACTGAGAGTAATTTCTCTCAGTCGTACAGAGAGTTCGGCTCTCAAATTGCAGCGGTCTCTCTTTCCCTTCTATATTTGCTTGGATCAAAACTCCTCCCAAGGCAGTCGGCACAGCATCCGTTTCCATAGTGAATGGTCTTGTTTCTGTGGCGTCGTAGTCCGACGCTCCCAATATCAACCCTCCTTATCTGAACTCTTCCTTCATCTCTGCTACCACTTTCTCTGCTCCTCACCCCAAACCCATTCCTGATCCTAACGAACCAATTTTCTCAGGTGCTCAGTCTTTGCAGCGAAATTTTTGACGAATGCCCTCCAAAATCCGCATGCGAGGAGGAAGCTTCTAACATCAGTTAATGAGCGGAATGATACTGGTCACTCAATAATCTTGTCCGTTTTCTTTATGTCCGGCTGAAGGTCCTTCTCACTACCGACGAACCCTAAGATAGTAGCTTCCCTCATGCAGTGTCTGGATTTGGCCCCACTTGCAGTGAGATTATGCTCTTCAAGTAGGTTCAAGACTTTCTCAAGGTCCTGAATATGCCTCAAGACAAAGTGTTTCACTCCTGGTAGGACTTCGTCGTTCTCCTTCACCATTGGCCCCTTCACCGCTAAGTCATCGATATACGGTTGTGTGATGTGCGGGCTGACTGATTGCATAGCTCGAATCATGGCCCGCTGAACCATTGCTACCTCGTTGGTCCACCCTTGCGGAGCCACATTCATATGGATCAACCCTCGAGGTGTATGCATTGCCGTCACTGGCTTGTCTTGCGGGTAGATCGAAAATTTGTCATATTCGGAGTAAGGGTCTATAAGTGAAATTATAGGCCTTCCAGCACAGGATTCTGACAGCGCATCCGCATTTGACAATCCTCTCGCATCTCGCACAATCACCGCATTCAACCGCTGCAGATCTTGCACCTATCGCAGCGTCCCATTGGGTTTGATGAAACAAAACCTTGGGGATGTGTATGGCCCACTTGAATAGTCGGCGACATGTGTACGTATCTTACTGTCAAGATAATCAACCACCTTCTTCTCTTCGTCAGGATTAGGATATCGCGCCCCTCTCAAGTTTCATAGCTAGTGCGGCACGGTATGGATGCGGATCATAAGAATCTTGTCCACATCCAACCTGCCGCGCTCCTCATCACTAAACGCATAGCCGCGGTGCCTCTTCTTCATTAGTTCTATCATTAAAGCTCTTTCATGGGGCAATAGGAAGCCAGCCTCTCCGATTATCAACTTCGTTCTCCTCGTTGATACGACACGGCCCAGCTGAGGCGCTTTCCTTCATCCGCCATATCAACCCTCGCTCCCATTCGTAGTACACTTCCTCATCTTCGGTAACGAGGACGGGAACTAGGCAGCACTTTTTATCTATCGTCTTGTACCGCCTTTGGGAACCCTGCTTGAGCCGTCCCCTAAAAAAGGCCGGCTTACAGCTTGTGCTTGTATTGACGCCGGGTTCCTCCTCCCTCCTGGAAGTCGATACACCAACTCCAAACCCCCAGCCTGGGGGCATTCCAGGACTTTCTCTCTCAGTGCCTAGATGGCGTCTGGATCCGCCATCTCATGCGTGGCCACTATGTCCATGGCCTTATTTACGTCTGACAGACTGAGGGAAAACGCCTCAATTCTTTCCCCCTCTTCTGGCTCCGCAAGGAGTCTCCGACGTTCGCCCTCTGACTCCTCATTTGTGAATGAGCCCGGATTGGGTCGGTTCCTTATGCTTCGAGGCCCTGTATTCCTGCAGGTAATCACTTCATAATTCCCGCAGGTAGCGTCACACATGATAAGGATCAGAGTCCCATTGTGTTTGTTGAACATCAATGTCTCTGTCCTGCATAAGGACCTTCCCAAGAGAATCCCGTGGTTCCTCGTCGGGCATAACAAAGAAGCACGCCCTGCCCTTTACTCTTCCAACCGCGATAAGTACATTCGCGGCTGTCCCGGAAAACACCGCTTTGCTGTTGGCTCCATGCAGTAGACCACAATCCGAGCGGTCTATCTCCAACCCGAACCTGACCGCGTCAGCCTCCTGATAATGTTCATTTCGGCTTCCGTATCCACCATGGCTGAGCACTTGGAGCCTTTTACCACCAGATCCACCGTGCCACAAGCTATGCACTTCCAGTCTATCTTTGTCCCCGTCTCTGCCCACTCTGCTTCCTTAGGCAGAATCATACTTAGATGGACACTGGGTACCAGTCGTCGCGACAACCTCCCCTTCAATCCGTCATGGAGCTTAGGTGTTGACGCCTAAATCTCCTTTAGGGTCATAAGGTCGTTGTGACCCTCCAACAACCTATCAATCACCCTCTCCACGTCGAACCCTTTTTCCAGCCAGACCGCATTCTTCTTCTTTTTGGGCGACATATCACGCATGATAGGCTCGACTTCCTCCCTGGCCTCTCTTTTCCCAGCCCGCTGTTCCGCCCTCCGATCTTCCTCTTCGCGCAACCTTTCATCCTCTTCTTCCTCCTCGTCATCATCCTCCACTTTTATAGCTTCCTTTCTCTTCATTAGTTCAGGTTCTTTTCGAGGAGGCTATTGGCTTGCACCGGCTTTAGCCTGACCTCGGGTACGAGCAGCCTGCGCCGGCCTTCCTGCGGCGTAGGAGGTCTAGTCATCATCCCTGACCGCGGGCCTGATCCCACGGTGGTCACCTCAGGTCGTCCTGGCATGGATTTTGGGTCGAAATCGTAGAGGAAGACCTTGGGGATGCTGGCCCTCCATTCCTTCACTCCTTCACAGAGGTCCACCAACTTCTGTTGGTATCTCCCCACTTTGTCCAACAGGTCTTCCATCTTCCCCAGCAGGACTAATGGGGGCTCTATTTTCTCCTCTTCATTCTCGTCCTCTGAATCCATGGGCTCCTCCCTTATATCCCCTGCCCGCAGCCTTTGGGTCACTTCCTCATTACTTCCCACCTCTTCCACTCTAATTGGTGGGTCCTCTTTCTCTTGCCATAACCTGAACGTGGCAGGCAGCGCTTGTCGTGCGGTTACTCTACTTTGGGCCTCCGCTCTCACTCCGCCAGGGACCATCCTATCAATATACTCCCCGAACTGATCGTAAATGTCACCGTCCATATTGGAGTACATCAGTCCCACTCTTTCCTCTTCCCGCCTTGCATTGCAGAACCGTATACTGTGACCTTGCTTGTCACAGTGTTGGCATATGGCGGTTCTCCGATCAAAACGAGCCCTTCCGCTTCCCTGGTTCCCTTGGTTACCTTGACTTCCCTGGCCCAGGTACCCTTGGTTATCCAATTGACCTCCTCGACGACCACCATTTCTGTCGCGATGTCGAGCGCATCGGTCCGGCACGGCACATGGCAGCATGGGACCCTCTCGGCCGTGTCACGTAGGAGTTGGACCAACCTCGTTACGAACACGCAAAAGGAGCTTCCTTAGGCCGCTCCGGCCGAGTGCGCCATCCATCCCTCTCGCGAGCCCCTACGACAGGATAGGGCCTACGCGAGGCACAACTTACCTCCACCTTACGGGAGCTGTCACCTTCCTTCGGTGGGCGTATCCCCGCCGAACTACCAGTCCATAGTACGAAAGCTAATTAGTTGCAATCACAGAGGTGGACCAGCCGAGGGCGTTTCTCGTTCGCTGTAGCATAGGGGGTACGCGCGGTAGTACGCCTATCCGGCCCGCACGCGAACCGACGTCTTGGGGGCCGGAAGCCCCAAGCGCAGCTCGTCGTCGGTCGACTAGGACGCATCCCACACACCACGTGCACACCACTTTACGAACACAGAAATAAAACACACACACACACACAAAACCACACAACACAAACAAACGCGACAACGCTCCTAGCCCCTCGGTAGCCAACCCATAACTTACCGATGCGGAAATCGGATGAACGTCGCGCGCGAGACTAAGTATAAAACGATGCGGACGCTGGGCTAATTCATACTGACTCGCAATGCAAGCGAACGCACGCAGTCGCAGTGATGGCGTACTATGAAGTGCCCATAATCAAGCGGTCCCTCGTGGATCCGAGTACCGCTTATGACACTCAAGTGTCAGCCTCGACGTGTCGTGAGGGTCTAATCCCTCACGACATTGCACAGCGGAAGGAATAGTCGTGCAGCCGTCGCGAGACCTCCGGCCTTTGGGGTGATCGTCTCGGCAGGCAAGGCAAAAAGGCTCTGCACGGGGGCAGATTCCTTCCCTGTAGAGTCTAGGGCGTTGGATGTCCTGGACAAGGACCTTGGATCCCGGCCCAGGACCAACGTCCAACTATAAAAGTCTTCCAAAAAGCAAAGAATAAAAGAGGGTCTTCCTTTTCTCTCAAGCCATAATCTGGTTAACCCTTGCGCACGGTCACAATGGGCCGCGCGAAACACTCGAGCCACATATATATACACATATATATATAGAAGGCTATTAATATAGGACGATCACTTCTCACAGTCACAGTGAGACTCCTCTCAGCCATATATGTATGTGATCGCAGACAGTCATATCCAGAGTCTGAACCACCACCATACCTGCAATCACATCAAAGRTTCAACCAAAAGTCMACACACTACACGGGGTCAACTTCAACCATTCCTTGCACTCATACCCCTCGCTTTAGCCATACAAGCCTCACTCGTGCAACTCTTAAATAAATACTCAGTACTTTTGTTCGATGGCCATTCAATAAAGTCCGGGTGAAAACACAACAAAACAATATACATCACAAGGCTGAAACCTTTAGGTTGAGTGGCAAGAGTGAATTAGAGTTGAATCGTAAACCGACGAATCGGCAACCGACCTGTTATCAGTGATAACAGAAGATGATCCTTGTAGGATCCAGCTGAAACTAACCCTAGTCCTGAATCGAAGTCCAACGAAAGCCTGTTCCATAAGACAGGTCAATCCCCAAGCTAAGTCGTCAGCGCATGGGGGATAAATCTCCATAAGACCTTCTCACTCTAGGTTAGTTGCCAACTAAATCCAAGTCTACCCCTAAACCAGTGCCCAAAGCAAAGGTAGACTAACGACAGGATTTCCCCTATTCAGGGTGGATCGCTAGAATCGTCACCTGTCAAAATATAGTCTATCTTCTTTAAACTAAGAAAATTTTGGCAGCGCTTCCTATAGGAAAAATGCCTTTTTAAAATTTATATCAGCCATAATATAGAAACAGAAATAGTCTTTGACTTTCCAAAGTCCAATTTTGTCTAACTCCCTAATTTATCAAAAATTTGGGCAGCACTCCCTTTAGAAAAAGGAGGTTTTCCAAATTTTTACTAAGCGATATATAGACTTTAGACACGTTGAACTTTGAAAGGTAAAAAATTCACTAACTCCCTGGATTTGTAGAAATTTCGGCAGCGCTTCCCGTAGAGAAAGTAGCTCACCAAAATTTATACAAGACCAAGTATAACAAAAGATCCCAGAAAATGCGAGACTTGATCTAAGTAAAAAACACTTAGCTCAGAAAATGCAGAAATTAAGCTAACTCCTATCGCTTTAGCACGTGGCGAGCAACTACAGCAACTACCTGTCAAATTGAAACTTAGACCAAGTAGTAGCCTCACTCAGTCACATGCAGGCCAAACCATAAATGTAATTACTCTCACCACCCCCAAGTCAACCTTGCAAACAATAGTTCATAGTCTTTCAATGTTTTATCCCTTTATACCCAGCTTACATAGGGCGTAAAGTCAGGCCATCCAATCTTATGGAACATGCCTGACCCAGCCATTGAGTATACACGAATAGGTTGCACAACTACTTTTCTCTTCCTTGGGCATATGGCTAGACCATTTTAGCCGACCTGAATTGTTTAAATAGCCAAGTTATATATATATATATATATCTTTGAATTTAATCTTCAAGGTGGGCGTAGGACTGAGCCATTCGTCTTAGAAACAATGCTCAGTCGGCCCAAGTTACCTTCAATTATATTCTTAATTGTACTCTCTTCAATTTGCGATAAGCTAGAGTGAGACCATCCACTCTTATGGAACTCGTGCCTGACTAGCCTGTTTTTTAATAAGATAATAATAACGTATAGCCAAATTATAACCATTGGGTTCCAACATGTGCGAGGCTTTGAGCCAGACCCCGTAAACTTACAGAAGGATCTAACTCTCTGCCAGATTCATTTCTCTCTGAACCATCATGTGTGTGGCATTAAGTCAAACCCCCTGAACTTACAGAAGGGTTTGCCCTTTGCCAAATAATACTCCCTTTAAACAAAAGCACGAAGAGACTGAGCCACCTGAACTTACAGAACAGCTCGGTCCCCTCGTTTAGAAACAAGGAAACTTAAGAAAACCCAAGAACCAAGGCAACTCAGGGTACCTAAACTTATAGAGCGCCCCGAGCTCCTGAAAATCGGACACAATCAAACCTTCGCAAGTCAGAGCAGTCAGGCCACCTAAGCTTATAGAGCGGCTCAACCCTCCATTCAAACCACAGCACCGGGTCTCCCCAGACTTATAGGGACCTCCGGGCCTCAATGACCAAGTCAAAACGCACACAATACTGCCTTCCTCCCAACCTTCCCCCGGATGCAATCCCTTTTGTTCACAATCTGCTTTCAGGCAATCAATAAACTGAAAGTGAGGTTACACGTTCATTCCTTTTTCTTAGTCTGAATTATATCCTGAAGTCAAACCCAAAGTTAAATACAGGATGCACGCAGTATACTCAGTCAACTGATAGAAGGAAGTACAGATAAAGGTATAATTAGGCTTATAGAGGAAAAAAGTAGGATTACCGTACAATTCCCTGCCTCCAGAACTACACATGAGTTCCGGCAGAACTCCTGCAATCGGTGGGGTAACCTCCCACGTAAGCCTTGCTGCGGTCTTACGGGTTGCAACCCTGCCTGTCGCCTCCCTCTCATATCAGGACTAGACTTAGAGTAAGAAGAGCAGAAGTAGATAATTTTGAGACTCTCAAATACAAGGAGGGTGCGCTCAGACTCGCAGGAGAGGGCCTTGATACCTTCACTCGCCTGAGGGCCCCGCAATGGCGGCCAACTCGCAGCAGCTTGGTCAAACCTCCGAAGTCAAACTGCCGAAACGTTGCCCTTCTGACTCCCTCCTCGATCCCTTCAACAAGCCCGTCACGTCCTCTAAACCACAATGCCTTATCTTTCTGACCAAATCCCCGCCGTACAGCCTTTAAGGTATCACGTTGGAGCAACGCACTCCCATCGTGCCTTACAAACACGGACGAGACAAGTCCGGGTAACCATACCCAGATCAGCGTGAGCTGCCCGTGTTAACAACGTGCATGAACTTTAGTACTCGTGCCACACTTGCCAGGGCACACATTGCTACCGTACGCCATTTGCGCACAACCTCCCACAAGGGCACACCACTTGTAGGCAACAGACGCATAGTGCCCAAAGGACACCCGTTGCAGCGGAGTGCAACGATCACTGCCGGTCTACATTCTGTTGAAGCCGTGAGGTAGCAACCCCTCCTCTTTCTATAATCTTTTTTTTCTCCCTCTCTTCTTGTCTCACACCGTCCTCGCCTGCCAATACATCTGGGATGCCATGCAGAGGACCTGGACGTGAAGCGCAAGACAAACTCAGACAGGGTCACGACACTGTAGGGGACTACAAGGCTAGTGAACCAGCGGATCGGCATCAGTGGAGCGGAGCGCAAGGCGCCAGCAACAAGGCTACCACCCTTCAGAGTACGTGAGCGGCTATTACGGAAGACACGGCCTGCGAATGAGTAGCATGGCCGCAAAGTCGCAGGGCGCGAGGCAATATGAACAACCCAGTCACACCGCAATGCGAACCCGGCAACCCGCAGGGAACCATGTGCGAGGTGAGCGGGACACAGGCGGTCGAGCAACTGTGAGACACAGACAGAGGTGCCCACATGCCCAACGCGAAGCAGAGCAACACTCGGCCACTCACATCATGAGTGATCCCCGTCTGCCTGGTCTGAGAGCTAAAAAGCCACCTCGTCAGACACCCATCATCACCTACAGTCAACACAAACACTCTAAGCCGAGTAGCCCCAATCTCAGGCGGAAGGCAACCTCCCAACCTCGCTCCCCTCTCGGCCGAGGTAAGTGGCTCCTCTCCCTCTGTTCGAACTGCATTTGTTGCCCCCGTGCCGCGCCGGGCCCAAACTTAGTAGCTCGCCCTCTAGCATACGAACGGATACACGTTGCCAGCCACTGCGAGCAGAGGGATTGAGAAAGGTCTTCCCGTCTCCAGGGCGGGCAACACACCGGCAGTCAGGCAAGCCACCACCCTCACGGCTATCCGCTTGCTACCATCAATGACAGAGTGGGCAAAATCGAATGAATCTGACGCCCGCACCCAACCAGATACATCGACGGCCACTCACATCATGAGTGAGCCCCGTCTGCCCACTTACAGAGCTAAAGAGCCACCTCGT